ATCAACTTACTATAAGCGATAACTTGTGGTTTCAGCAAGCACATGATTTCAGATCATTTTGCTTTGAAGTTGATGAAAAATACGATTTAAATAGTGATAGTGCATCAGTATTGTCTCTTGTTGTTGAAGACTGTGCAGGGTATGGGACACCAATTGCATTCGGGGTATCAAATAAAGAAAATAATCATACAATTAGACTTGCTGTAGAAACAGTAAAACGAAATATTCCTTGTAATAGTACTGATTGTATACATGAGTATCAGTATATAGAACTGACAAATGGTAAAGGATTTATGAGAATTCGTCATTGTGCACAAGAGTGGCACCCATATGCAATGATTGATAAATACCGTTCAACAAAGTGGGAGCTTCAGCCTATTTTTTGTGGATTAATTTTATGTTGATTTCATATTATGCAAACACTTGGGGAATGTCTTAAAGATTTAAGAATTGCTGATTATTATCGATATCCAATTGCTATTGCATTTAAGGTTGTAAGTAGAAGCAGAAATAAAGAGAAAGCTATAGAGCTTGGTCATGCTTATGAATTATTTATTAGAACTCTACCACTTCCAGAAATTACTAAAGAATGTTTGTACAATGATATATTTGCTAATTGGTTATCTGAAGAATGGATTGATTGTTTTATCGATGGTGGTTGGTTGCCTTCTGTAAATGATCGCCCAGGTGTAAAACCTATGACTACAAATAATCTTACAGAACGAATGAACAAATCAATCGAAGGCAAACATGTAGGCACCCAACCAATCAATAAATTATCGAAAGATTATATGGGATTAGATTAATACGAGATAATATTATTCAGAAAAATTCTTCACAATTTATATTTGAAGCTGGTCAAGTAACCTATTGGAATGCACATATTATAGAACATTAAGCATTATCATTTAAACAACCTGCAGATAGGCCTCCGCATGGGCTGGGTAGGGCTAGGGTAGCACTAATACCCTAGCCCTACCCATTTATGTAAGGGCTCACCTTCCGAGTCCTTACCCTTGCCCTAGGGTTCAAAATATACTACCCTACCCGGCCCATAGTGCCCTACGGGTAACCGAGGGTACTCTTGGGCTTAGATAGTAATATGTGCACATTTACTGATATATCGATATACAGTAGATTAAATTCAATATTACGTATCACTACCAAATTAATTAAATTGATATCGATATATATCGATATCGTCAATTTCGATCACACATCACATATCACTACCAAATTAATATCGATATATATCGATATCGTATATTATAATCAATTTCGATCATATGCGGTTTACAAAA